GCGCACACGTAGCGATTGTTCAGCGACTCGGCAACAAATATCAAACATGTTTGATATTCCAGCGACGAGTTTCTGGCGTCAAAATCGGTGACGCCGTGCAGCGCACACGTGGCGATTTCTCGGCGATTTTATTGCTGGCAACAGAATCGCCGGTACTGTCGATAAAAATCGCCACGTGTGCGCCGGGCTTAAGTAAGAGGCACACCCGTGACCCATATGTGACTTTAACACCTGTGATAAAGGTACCAGCAGGCGCAGTTTTCATTAACACCAGTTGGCTTCTGCTCAGTGCACTGTGCATGGCAAATAACATACATGCTACATAAATGCACATATATACCATATGGCTGTGGCAGCTATTTAAAAATTTCCATACACATCTGCAGTTTAGACTTGGAATTTTAAGAAGGAAGAAAATCATAAAACCCTATGATATATTAAATGTTACCTTCATAAGGCCAAAACAAAATATATGTGTGGTTACCGTTACATGCCGAAAAAAAATAGGGTAGGTTGGTAGGGAAAACATTTTATTTTCTTGAAATATTTTATTTACGAACCATGTCCGAAGGATGTGCGTTGTGCCTTTTGAAGCAGGAACTGTCCAATTCATATTTTCATATTTTTTATTTTTATATTTTTTATTTTTTTTTTTTACTTGAAAGAAAATTGACAATAAAATGTTTAGGGTCGCTGGGAATATTTATAGGGTCGGTCGGGAAACCGTAACCACACCTATATTTTGTTTTGGCCTAAATAAGCTGAATGCATTATGTTCAAGTGGTAAACAGCTGGCACCAATAATAAGAAGGACAGATATATCACATTCAACTATTCATAAAACTGTATGATAAACTCGCTGTGGTGTAATCCCCGATGACTATAGTTAACACAAAACAAAAACATGTTAAAACAAACAAACTTATATACATACCAGTGCATTCAACGACTAGCTGTTTACTTCCATTTGAATGTATCTACTTGAATCATACATGTACATCGATCAACATCCCGGCACACAACAACGGTTCACATCCTGGTTAGGCAGCGGCGCAGTGTAATACCCTTTACTCTATATCAGGTCTAATTATTGAAAGCATCGCTTGAAAAACAGCTACGTGTTCCACTGCCCCACATATACCTTGCGAACAATTAACCCACATACTCAGCGTACACGCCATGAACTGTTGACTGTCATTTCACAACCGGCTGCTCACGAACATGCGCGCGCTGTGTATCAACGCAATTTTTCAACCATCATCACGGATAGTAGACCTTTCACTAGGTTGACTGCTGGCTTGATTTGCTTGATATTATGGGGATGTGCTTGTCATATATTTGTGACAGAAGAACGCATTTTCATAACTGTGAAAGAATTATGATTTTCAACAGAAATTCAATAAACTAAAACTAAGTCATTACAAATATAGACCAATTGCCTTTCTGCCAATAATTTATTGAACCGCCTCTCAAATCGTCCCTGGCTAATGTGCTTCACGTCACTTACATTTTTTAACACTTCTATCACACCACTCAATTGTAAAACATGAAAAAGGCATAATAGTTCAATGGCAATTTTCAAAGCTAATTACACACAGATGGCAGTTATAAAGAAAACACTAGCATGTATCTTATATTAATGCACCACTATAGTAATTAATGCAGCAAAAGTAAAGCTATGCCTATAAATATGAGAGCTGCTAGAGTTCAACATTGAAGACATAATTAATATAAAACATACGTACTATAATTGTAAAATAAAATGCACTTCTTTTCAACAAGCAAGCCCTAGGCAAATTGTGGCACACTGGTCCCCATTATTGAAACTCGTGTGAAGGGCAGCTGAGACAGACTATGCCTGGCTCAGGGAATCAAGGATAATTTTGCAAGCAATGTGTGCGACCACAGCAAAGGTTATTTGACCCAGGCGAGTTTCTGACTTTTTCCTGGTGTGGTGGGGCAAAGCTAACGGATTGTGGACGGCTACAGTATTTAAATGGAGGTTTATGTCTGTACTGTGTATGATAAAATTGAATTATTGTAGTGGCCCTAGGGGTTGCCAAGCAGGCTTCTCCCTACGTTGCGCAAACCGGGCGCACCCGCCCCGTTTGGGAAAACCCCCCCCCCGTTTCAATCGTTGTGCCCCGTTGAAATTTTTTTTGCCCCAATTAAAAAAAAAAAAAAGTCAGCTTTGG